AACGTCCAAACTTGGGTAGTGTACTGATAATTATGCTATGGTTTAAAGCTATGTATACTAATGTACTAGTACTAGCAATGACTTGTGTAAGACATGATCACACTGTTTAAGTAACAACGTCCAAACTTGGGTAGTGGAATGATAATTATGCTATGGTTTAAAGCTATGTATACTAATGTACTAGTACTAGCAATGACTTATGTAAGAGATGATCACACTGTTTAAGTAACAACGTCCAAACTTGGGTAATGTAATGATAATTATGCTATGGTTTAAAGCTATGTATACTAATGTACTAGTACTAGCAATGACTTATGTAAGAGATGATCACACTGTTTAAGTAACAACGTCCAATGTAATGATAATTATGCTATGGTTTAAAGCTATGTATACTAATGTACTAGTACTAGCAATGACTTAATCTCTTACAACATTACCCAAGTTTGGACGTTGTTACTTAAACAGTGTGATAATGATAATTATGCTATGGTTTAAAGCTATGTATACTAATGTACTAGTACTAGCAATGACTTAGTTGTTACTTAAACAGTGTGATCATCTCTTACAATCCAAACTTGGGTAGTGTACTGATAATTATGCTATGGTTTAAAGCTATGTATACTAATGTACATTACCCAAGTTTGGACGTTGTTACTTAAACAGTGTGATAATGTAATGATAATTATGCTATGGTTTAAAGCTATGTATGCTATGGTTTAAAGCTATGTTTGCTAATGTACTAGTTCTAGAAGGCAGTTGTGGTAAAATGTTAATAAAGTAACCAAGTTTATTAACAAAAAAAAAAGTTTTATTGATTTTGTATGAATGACAAAGAACAGAAGAATTTAAAGTGCTTTATGAACAGATTGAACTGTGTCTGCGAGAGATATTTTAGCACACATCCAAAATTTCATTAAACATTTCATGCCGGTGCATATCTGGTTGAGATGTTTGAAATTGACAAACAAACACACACTATCGTCAATTAATAGTCAATTGGTGTAATTATTAAAGCGATACTTGAACCCTAATTTCGTCTGCGTGAAACGGACGACCATGAACATCCAAATAAATGTTACACCTGAAACGTGAGAATTGAACTCCTAATATTTTTTATTACAAATCACTTAGCAATTGTTTCTTGTTAACTGTTAAGCCTAACTGAGATGGGTTAGGACACTTGTGCGTGTTCGTGTTATGTTATTCACAGAACAACGTCCCACGGTGGGACAGCGTTAGGTCTACGAGTTTACATCGCTAATATCCGGGGTTCGGTTCACCGCGGTGGACACAGCAGATAGCTTAGTATGGCCTTGCTCTTTAACAAACAAAGGTTTCTTTGTTTGAAGTTAAGCACATTGGGCTGTCGGTGCTCTGCCCACCACGGGTATCGAAAGCCGGTTTCTAGCGTTGTAAGTCCGCAGACATACCGCTGTGCCACTGGGGGCAACAAAAAAGGGATAATATTAATATCCAAGAAGAAAGATCAATACAAATATCGAAAGTTACCACAAGAGTTGCTGACATATTAACTAAAATATTTATGTGCTACGTAACTTTCTAACCGAAACCTGATTGGTTGATAACTGTTTCTCGAAGAAGAAAAACCACAAATTTGATAGAAAATTTGGTATATAACGAATGTTCGTGAATTCAATATACATATCATCAAATGTACATGAAATTAAAATATCAAGAATCCACGATCAGCAAAAAGTCCTATACTCTCAACATTGATATTTAATGAATTTTTGACAACGAGACTGGAGAAGCTTGTTGACCTTTCACCTTTAGCTTTTACTTTCGTTGTGTAAGGAAACAATAAATGAAGATCAACGTGTTACCGATCGTCCTTAGGAGTTTAACCTGTGACCTGGTAAAGAAGCGACGTGTAATGTTTCTATAACCATATGCAAACGATCAGTTTGGCTACAATTGTCATCAAGTTACAACCTAAAAACTTCAAGTTTCTTAAGAAACACTTTCGGAAGAAACGAACTCCAGTGGTGGTCAACTTTCAACCTCCGGAATGGCTAAAATGGCCACAAGGGATTTTCTCTTAATTTACAAAGAAGTTCAAGCAACTATAAATCGGTCTAAAATAATTTATAGATGTAACCCACGAAGCCATGCTCTTAGTATAAAATAACAGCGGTTGACGTTTTTAATATATATCATTTTAAGGGGTCAAGATGTGTGTAAAAGGACAGCAGTATTAACCAATCAATATCAATCGAAGTTTCAAAATTTCAACAAAAAGTTATGATTAATTATTATTTTTGAAAATTGTTAAGGACGAAAAAAGTTTAAAGCATTGAGAATCCACTCCACCCACCCACCCTCAGTGGGGCAGCGGTAAGTCTACGGATTTACATCGCTAAAATTCGGGGGGTTCATTCTCTGTAGTGGACAGAGCGCAGATAGCCTATTGTGGAAGTAGTTCTGGTTTATTTGCTTTAGAATTTTTTCTAAAAAATACTTTAATATTCTAGTTTCAGATATATGAAAGGTTTATCAATAAAGATAGTTTAGTTGATGAAAAGAATGATGCTTTCTGCCACAATGGTGGTAGATAGTGTAGAAATTATAACTAATACTACTATCTTTAGTCACATTATCTTACATCAAGGACTATCTGTGCATAGCTTCCCTTATTTCCAAAGTGATAGATTAGAGGGAAGGCAACTAGTTAACAGCATCCATCGCCAACTGTTAGGTTACTCTTGTCCCACCGAATAGTCGGATTGGATCTTCACTCTTACAGCACACGCATGACCAGTAAGTGCTGAGCGCGTTTTTGCGGCAACGAAACTTGAACCACTAATTCTGAATTTATGGAAGGGGGGATGCTAAACATTAGGCCACGCCCAACCCTGAGCAGAGTCGTAGTTTGTTGAAGTAACAACGTATTTTTTTCCTCTTGATATTTTTTTATAATTCTAAAGTGGGGTGTTTTATATAAATGAGATAAGCTTGCTAAGTTTTTGTACCAAATGCAACGGAAATGAAAATATGTGTATCTCTTTTGTATGTTGGTTCCTGTGCAATTATTGGCATTGGTATTTCAACTTGAGCAACACCTTATGAGGACGTGGGCTGAACAGCCAGGTCAGAGATCCCTAGGGTTTTAATTATTAATCGCCGGGAAAGCAGCCAACACCAGCATTCGCTGCCAAAAGAACTTTGTATAGTTCTTTAAACCGAAGAATGTGATTGATAATCATTCACATAATACGCCTACAGCTTAGATTTTGAAGTGACAGACTAGAGGGAGGGGAGGCAGCTAGTCAACACCACCCTATGCCAATTCTTGGGCTACTCTTTACCAACGAATAGTGCTTGGATTGATCGCACATAATAACGCCCCACGCGACTGAAAGAATGAGCATTTTTGTTGACGGGATTCGAACCCGCAGATTGCGAGTCGATTATCCTAACCACAAGGTTATGCCAAATCCTAACATGTAATTATGATAAAATATTGTGATTCACCATCAATGTTAAATGAGATAAATACAAGAAAACTTTGCTTTCAAGGAATAATAATATTTTAATTTATTATAGATATCATTACGGTCTATATGATTTTTTCTTTAATTTTAGAATTTTAAGAATTTTTTTTTAGTTTCATTATTAATACATTTGATTTAACAAAATATTTATTAAGATTACGGTCAAACAACAAGACTAAAATTTGGATTTTATTTTTTCGGAACAAATAAAGGATGCCTTCAATATTCAACTATAATTTTATATTTGAAATTTCCTGTAATTAAATATATTTACTTATAATTAAGAGGTCCCTTTGTTTAAATTTGACATATAATGGGCCGCATCAGATTGGCGAAGTAAATAACATTAACAGTGTTAACATTGGATGGGATAGTTGTATTGTTGTTTATTCTTCAGGTTCTTGTACACTGATATAGTTTATATCAGAATTAAGAAAAAATAATGAATGTCTTCCGTCTTGCAGGAGATTTATCACATCTTCTTGCGATTATTATATTACTAATGAAAATATGGAAAACAAGATCCTGTGCAGGTATGAAATTTATTGAACCGGTAGTAGTAACACTACTAACGGTTAGGCTTAGGAATAGTAGTAGTATTGATTGTAAATACGTTATTAATCATAATTAATAGCCCATTGTCCATGCTACTATTATTACTGCTACTAAAGAATAGCGCCGCACTTTCAAACTACTATATTTACCTTCTTGATAACAAGGAACCCACTTTAGAAAATAAAAGTTTGAGACGGCTTGACTGGGTAATGATTGTACGACGTTTAGACAAGATTTTGTCATCCTCGGGTCATTTATAATGAGGAAGGCAAAAGATAAAAATATGTTTTTGACAAAAACTTTCACTTAACACTAACAGTGTTGAACACTCAAACATTCAAATTTTTTAAAAAGATACACGTTATAATATGGAAAGGATAGAATTGATAAGTTAATGCATATTTAAACCGGACAAACTTGTTAATCATAGATAAAAAGAGAGTAATATTTATTTGTTACAGGTATTTCAGGAAAGACCCAGATTCTCTTTGCTCTTGTCTACACTTCTCGGTACCTAGATCTCTTTACAAACTTTGTATCAGTTTACAACTCGGTCATGAAAGTCTTCTTCGTTGCCACGTCGTATGCCACAATCTACTTGATATATAATAAATTTAAAGCTACGTATGATCGTAACCATGACACTTTCCGCATAGAGTTTCTACTCGTTCCTGTTGTTATCCTGGGACTTCTGGTTAATCACGAGTTTTCCCTGGTTGAGGTATGGTCATGAATTCCGTTTGCTGTACGTTACTTGTTTTATATAAATTATTACGTTATTGTGTGATTTTATTTTTAAAATTATAATTCAGATGGTTGAGATGAGTTATCTAAAAATCCAGTTGGGATTGGGAAACTTTGGGATTGGGATTTTTAAAATAGATTGTAGAATGGTTGGAGGAAAGAAAGCAAAGAAATATTATTAATGAAGTCTGGTCAAACTTGACCCTCATTAATAGTGGAAGGTCTTAGAAGTCTGTACTTTGGCCTTACTTACATCAGGGATATTGATAGGGGCAGAATTAGTGAAGTTTGTGATTTAATATTAACTTCTGATCAGTACTAAATATGTACTTAGAATGAAGCTAGAAACCAACCTGGCAATCAGTTACGCCAATCTTGTTCTACACCATCTACGACTAAGTTGTTGACAGCAGCCTCTACTGGATAGTAACAATAACAACACATCGAATAATCACGGAAACTGTTTATTAACACAGTGTTCATAAACACTGAACAAGTGACATTCACATGCTGAGAGGTAAATGAAGTTGGGTACCAATAGACTAAAACCTAGAGGATAATGCCTGCAGGTTCAGTAGTAATGAAAAAGTAACAATGAGTCATCTAACTTGGCAGTTAAGTGTTTCGTGTTTACACTTATTAACCTAACATTACGTCAGAAGCCAGCCAACGGTAAACACCTTGTACAAAGTATGTGACTGTTGAGTTACGTTATACATTGTAGTTTTAAGGTTAGACAAAGTGTAAGTACAAAAGTCATAAATTCTGATTAATAGAAGTCGTGTGTGTAATGATAGAATAATACATATAATGATTACGTGACAAAAGATTCCTGCACTGGAAGAAATAAATTATCATAACTTAATTCTTTACTCAGTATAGATAATTAAATACTAACTTAAATATTCTTACTTTTCTGCTTATAAAGATTAAGATGCATTGTTTCATCTGTTGGGTACTCCTGCTGTTAATCATGAATCACTATAGTGTTTTGTAACAGGGATCGCAAGGAATTGCACAAAACCCTAATAGAACGTTCGGGGAAAAAAAGCACCTTAAACAGTAAAGATTCAGATCAAACAACACTTTAAAACTTTTACTATTGACTGCTAAGGCTGTACACATATAAAAATGTACAAACAAAGCATGCATATTAGACTTACAAGAAAAAAGCAAATATGCTCAAAACGGCCCATTTGTAATTCTTCCTCTAATATGATTATTATTATTCTCCTGCCAGCCTACAACAAAAATGGCTTGGTATATTGTATCCAAACTTTTTTGTAGAATACTAAATAAGATACTGCGAAGGTCGTAAGGGTATTGAAAAGATGATTTGTTTCTTCAGTGTTTTACATAAGCTAAAAAACATCGTAAATCAAGTGTAAACAATGTATCATTACCCCTTGAAGAATCTTATCATTGGAATGTATAAAGTTAGCTACCATATCAAGTAGTCCTTTGCCCATAGTTGAGCATAAAAAAAAAAAAAGCCAGCAAACAAGATAAATAGAAAAACTGGGAATTTAAAAACCTGCAAATAGATATTGTAAAAAAAAAGTAAGTAAACAAAGCTGGAGATACTATAAACATTATTAACTCAAACTACAAGTCCCTATTTTGACTCCACCAAATGTAATTCTAGGTAATGGCGTGAGATTTGTAGTTTGAGTAAATAATGTCTACAGTATCTCCAGCTTTGTTTCTTTACTCTTTTTTATGATCCCTATTTGCAGGTTTTTTTTATGTATCTTGTTATAATTTTGGTTCTAGCTGTGTTGAGGTACAACAGAATGATATTTGTCCAGCTGGTTAGTTGGTAAATTACCTTTAATTATAGAAGCTTGAGATGGCTGAGCTTTTAAGATATCTATTCAGAGAGGTAACTATTTCTTAATACATATCATTAGTTCAGCATTACTTCAAATATTGTTCACAGCCTTACCTAAGAATGGATGTCTACCTTTAAATCCCATTGGAAAAGGTTTGGAGGAGAGCTACAATGAAGATTCCAGGGATGGAAGGGTTGTCATATGGGTATAGGTTAAGATCTCTTAACTTATTTTCTCCTAACTTTAAGAGGTGATCTTATTGAAGTTTACAAGGTTATCCAGGGGACCAATAGGTTAAAGATTACTTGATTTGTTTGTGCTGTATTTTGAAGGCAAGATGGCATAAGTTTATGATTTGGAAAACAACGACTAAGCTCCACAGCTATGGCAGTTTTGTTTTATAACAGGATGATCCACTTGTGGAATGAGTTAATATTGGCAGTAGTAGAGTTTAAAAAAAGAATTTATAATTTCCTGAAAAATAAACAGCAAGTTTGACTTTTTACTTTTTCTTAAAAGGTGCAGGGATAGCCCTGAAAGACTCGTTGGTCCCTTTTTTCTCCGTATTTTAATTAAATCATATATATATATATAAATCTTATTATCAAACTAACTTAAGATAAAACTTTGATTATAACTAACAACTTTAGTGGTTATGGTTTGTAAAATTGGAACTGTAAATCCATTGTTTACATTACGTTACACAATATTAAGAGAACAACATAAACTCTTCACATCTCCTCATAATTAATTTGAAAAAGTTAAGTCCATTTCTGTGTCAGTAATAATAAATTGGTTGATCTTGGGAATTTTTCCTATGGATTGAAAACCCTATGTATCAACCATTTCAACTGATATACAGTCTTTATAAACTTGCTGAAAGTGTCCGTAAACAGTAAAAAATCAAGGTATTAGATAACTTTTATAATAGATTTTGTTCCAGAGAAAGTTTTGTAACACGTAGAAAATGGGAATATTTCACTTATCGTTTGGGAAGTTTAGTGCGAGTTTTTCAACAGAAATGTAAAAAAGGCTAGATGAATTAAAAACTAATAAAATATTAATTGGTTATAAGTAAATGAAAAGTTTGTCCACTGTGTGAAAAAACAACAACAAAAGATTACTTATACATATTCAGAACTGGATGTATATGTTACTAAAATAAGTCTGAACATTAATATTACAGAGAAAGGTACTTCATTTTTATAATATATTTTCCAACTACTTACAGGTCTTGTGGACTTTCTCCATTTATCTGGAATCAGTTGCTATCCTGCCTCAGTTGTTCTTGGTGTCCAAGACGGGGGAAGCCGAAACTATTACTTCACACTACCTGTTCTGTCTGGGGTTGTATCGTGCATTGTATATCCTAAACTGGATCTATCGCTACTATATTGAAGGATTTTATGATTTGATTCCCATTGTGACTGGTGTAGTTCAGACTGTGCTCTACTGTGACTTCTTTTACTTGTATATTACTAGAGGTGAGTATAATGGGTTCTGATGTGCGACTCCCGGGGATATATTTCTGGAAGAGAATACACACAAATCCTGGAAAGAATAAAATATTAGCTCTAAAAATTTCATTTCTGGAAATCCTGCAGAAAATCACTATTTTAATGTCAGGATCCTGAAATTTAATTTTCAGTTTAGAAATACTCCTTGAGATAATTGGCTTAATTTATAATAATAATAATAAAAAAAAAATAATAATAATAATAAAAAAAAAATTGATTTTCAGAATTTTCAAACATGACTGATGAACTAATATGGCAGAAAAGTTCAAGTTTAGTCCTGCATTGTAGGATTTGAGATAATGCTAATGATTTAAATAGTAGGTATTAAATAACAATTCTAAATTTCTTATTAAAGGTATGATATTTCAGAAGTGTTAAAAATATACAGTAAATTTTCAATGACATTCAACAGAAGACTGTAGACAGCTACAAATATTAATTTTGTACAAGCTAATAGTCACACTTGTTCTCATTGATATACTTACACTAACAAGTAGGTAACTCAATAACTTAGGTTAGTAAAACAACTATGATGTGGGATCGATTGTTTCTTCGGGTCACTAGGCCTATGATTTGTATAATTTACTGTTCTTCATTGTCTAAAGTGCATATTTAAGAGAGAGAAATCTAGTGATAGTTTGAGGCAGTTACTAGACATGATTAAAGATTTCATGTACTCACCTGAGCAGTGAGTTAAACTTGAGAAATCCTTCCCTGCTTCGCTAATTCCTATGTATTCTGCCAGAGCAGTGACTTAAACTTGAGGAATCATTGCCTGCTTCCTATCCATTCTGCTAGAGCAGTGAGTTAAACTTGAGGAATCATTGCCTGCTTCACTGATTCCTGTCCATTCTGGTAGAGCAGTGAGTTAAACTTGAGGAATCATTGCCTGCTTCACTGATTCCTGTCCATTCTGCTAGAGCAGTGAGTTAAACTTGAGGAATCATTGCCTGCTTCACTGATTCCTGTCCATTCTGCCAGAGCAGTGAGTTAAACTTGAGGAACCCTTGCCTGCTTCCTATCCATTCTGCCATGATACTTTTATGATTGGCAGTTTCTAGCCAGCAAGTAATGATTTATATGGAAAGCTAAATCTGATTCTTTGACAAATACTTTAAATGTATCACGTGAGAACATTGTCTTCTTGGGTGAAATCGTCTTGAAGTATAATCCGAGTTAGTGTGTATATATACAGTATATAGTTGCTACCCTCCACTGGCTTCTAGGTTGTTTAGGCAGAAGATGTAACCACATTATTCAAATATTACACAGCTTGGTGTTCAGGTGTATCAGTTTTTAAAACAGGCTTACTCGTTAAATAAGAAAACAACCTTTCCTTGTTGTGTTATGCTGTCAACAAACACAAGTTCTGAGTTTTCTTGAAATAGTGCAGAGCTTGAATGAAATTACCCACTGTTCTCTCTCTCCCACTTTCCCTTGACTTGTTATGCTTTTTTTAGGAGGGAGGGACGTATATAAGTTCTGCTTTCCCACGATAATTCACATTTTCTTTTTGACAGTTGTGTTGTTAACATTGCTACAACAAACTTAGAAATAAAGGTTAATCCTGATCCAAATACTTCCAACAGTATTGGAACATCTAAAGACCTTTAGAGGCCTTTTTCATGCAGTCTGGTCCTGTAGTTGCATTGCCAGTCCTTATTGATCAACATATTTGGGCCATTAATACTTAATTGTGTGCTGGTAGGTTTCATGATTGTGTCAATACTCAAGTTGCAGAACACCATAGATTTTCTCGTGATTTTGAACAAAATCAGTCTTTTGTTCAGAGCCAGAACAAAATTTGTCTGCTAGCCCTAATTCTGAAGAAGCATCTGCCGGTCTCAGGTGTGTTCTACTTCAAATCTTGAACCAATTTCTGTCACTTCTAATGGTCATAAGGCCATGTTAAGTGATTCAGTACACAAATCTTTATTTTGTCCACTTTCTCTTGATATTAGGACCATTACCGATGTCTCTAGAAATCAGCAGAATATCAATAGAATTCATATTCCTCATGTCCATCATATGAGTGACCTTTAAGCAGAGTCATCTTCTATTTCTCGTATTACTTTTCAAGTTTGTGGCCCTCAAATTACTTGTTGGGGGGTTCTTTCATGTGGTCCTCTGCATTTACCCATTGTAATTTTTCAGCTCTATGATTTGTTTTAAAGACTTGTTTTTCAGTGCAGTTGTTAGATGTTCTCATTCTCTTGAGTCTTTCAGTCAGGATCAAATACCTGTATTGCAGTCTTCTTTAACTGATATTGTTTCTATTACCACGCAGCTTTGATGTTCCATTGACACTTTAATTCATTGTCTTTCCAAGCGTTTCACCCAAACTAGTTTCCCATTCAAGAGAAGCACACCATCAGGAGTTGATTAAGGGTTTAACATCTTGTTTTGCTTTTGATTGTCATCCCTCTTCAAGATGATCAGTGAATATTGTTGTTTATCTTCTTAATCTACTTCTCCATTGATGCCTGCTACACTTGCTTGTACCTTTCAAATGGCCAAACATCAAACATTGACTCTCTCATATTCTGGATGACTCTTCCATCCAGACTTTTATGGAGTTATTTCAGATAATTTTTTCATCTGTGAGACCCTTGGCTTTGACACATCCTTCAGTTTGGTCTGTACTTTTATTTTTGTTGTCATCCTCCTCTTTCAGTTCTGTCAGGTTTTTCTTCTTCTTCCTTTATGATCCTGTGTGCTTTTTTACTTCCAGATCAGGAAGTTTCAGATCTTCAGAAAGGGTTAGTAGAATAATTTATTGTGTTTCTCAAGGTTTTTCTTGGAAAGCATTCTATTTGGACCCCTACTTAAAACTTGGGCTGCAAGAGAAAGCAACCATTGTTTTTCACCTGTTGTGTTGCCTACCCTCACTGATCTTGATTCTCATTCAGAAAAATGCTTTTTGTGTTTCTTCAGAAAAGGTTATTTATGCTCTACAATGAATCACTCTTTGGATGTTGCTTTGGATACTCTAACAAAATGGCTTTTGATTCATCTTGTTCACAGAGATGTTCCAGAACACCTTAAAAGTAAATTTTGAGTTAAACCTCACCAAATTTGCCCTTGGTGATTTGTTTGTTAGTACTTTCTAGAGGATGTTCGGATGAATCGGAATAAATTCTTAAACATTGTTGTCTCTTGAGCTTCTGGATTGTATATGCCTCTGGTTGTGATTCTTCAAATCAGATGACATCTCTAGTAGGTGAATTACCCCATTTGGGTCCACATCTGGAGTTGTAGATGAGAAACTGTGATTGGATATTTCTAGTTGGAACACTCATACATATCCTAGACAACTGTTCTGATGATGCCTCAGCAAGTTCCTTTTCCAAACTCGCATGCACGTTCTGGTGTGGCATTAGACGTTGGAAACAAGTCGATTATTCTCCACTTGATGTCTCGTAGGTTCTTCCAGGATGGGAAACACATTATTTTTTATTATTTTCTTTTTTTAACCTATTCAATGTTTCGACTACACTGCTCTACAATAGTTGAGTTTTATTCTTCCTCAACTGTTTCGATTTTGTGACTTGTCAGATGTAGCTGTAGGGAATGTTAGCCACAGGGCCATTCATTAGCTCTTATTGGTTTACTCCTTTCAAGTACTGGACAGTACATTGCAATCTGACCCTGACTATCTGTTATGCCACGTTCTGTGAACGTAACTGATAATGTGTTGGTTTCACGGGTAAATACATACTGCCTGACTACTCTCTTTTATGTGTTATTTAAAGGCTGAACAGGACGAGAGGTTATTATAATTTTTTGTGATGGTTAAAGTTCTTGAATAACTCTTTACATTAGGTTGTGTAATTGTGTATTAATAACCTGGAAGATTTTATTCACTGGAAAACTTGAGTTTCCTCTTTCTCCAGTTTATTCTGTACATAAAATGGTTGATTAAATAATAACGGTTGTGAGATTTATTGTATTCCTGAATGAATCAGGTAAGAAAAGTCTGATTACAGCAGGTGACTAAACACTGCGTAAGATAAAATGGTTGATTAAATAATAACGGTTGTGAGATTTATTGTATTCCTGAATGAATCAGGTAAGAAAAGTCTGATTACAGCAGGTGACTAAACACTACTTAAGATAAAATGGTTGATTAAATAATAACGGTTGTGAGATTTATTGTATTCCTGAATGAATCAGGTAAGAGAGGTCTGATTACAGCAGGTGACTAAACACTGCGTAAGATAAAATGGTAAACATGGTGATGTTTTATATTTCCTATTGTAGCTGTTTACAAAAAATTATATTAGTAAAAGAAAAACATGAATATTAATAACAATTATTTATCTGTTGGAAGAATTCATTGATCATTCAACCAGTTATTGTAAATTATAAATAATGTTACAGTACTGGCAAGCAGTTCTTACTATAGAACCTTTTATATGTTTAAGGACTACAATGCCAAAATCAGGTGTTCGATCCCCTGTGGTGGACTCGGTAGATAGCCCAATGTGCTTTGCTCTAAAACAAACAGTTAATCTATATGTACATGTATGCTATCCTAAACTCTTATTTTGTAATCTAACTGAATTTTTCTTTTAAATGGCACTATTAATTCTAAGGATCTGTGCGTGTGTGTGTGTATATATTGCTACAGAATAAATCAATTTGATCAGTATCTTTATTTATCCCAGTTATAAAAGGAAAAACACTGAAGTTGCCAGCATAGATACAGATGAACAATCCTGGTGATGATGTACATAGAATAATTTTGTGAGCACGAAGCCACTGTTGATACCAATACATGCACTCATCAAGCATCTACAGAAAGAGAGAGAGACAGATCCTATCTAATTTGTAAATAATCATTTTCATTTGATGCATTACTGTAGCTTACTTTTTCTTGTCTTGTTTTGTACAGATTGTAACATTGGTTTGAAATAAGTTAGATTTTTTTTACTAAAATATTGCACAAGTGTTGATACATTTTTATTAAGTAGATCAAAATGTCGGAAATTTTTTGTTTGTAATGTCCAGGTATTTATTGCATCAAACCACGAGATAATTCACTCTGGTTTTATTATATATGTGGTGTTCAACTCGTTTTAAACTCTTCCCAGATCTAAACAGACAGTAGTAATGCATCTTACTGCATCTGTGGTTAGGTCTTTGGTTTCAGTCTTTTGTGATTTACAAAGACTGTAATATTAGTTGACAAATTCCAGAAGATCAAAAAAGTATTTAAGTATTGTGAGGAAAAACTACAGTACTGGTTAGAAAGATGGTGAGTTGATTTATAAGTAGAAGTTTAGATATATTTTTCTTTGTTTGATGTTCTACTATCAAAGTTATAATCAGAAAAAAAAAAAACAGGCTTTGATTATGCAGTCTTGAAGACAGATCTAGAACCGTGTGTGTACATATTTATTATTGTGTTACAAACAGTTGTATCTGATAGACAATAAACATTATTATAAGGTAGAGGTTTAGTACACTTTATCCTCACTATATTCTATATTTCAGACTTGTGAAAACTTTCATTATTTAACATTTTAATGTATATGTGCTACTATAAACGTTTGAAAGTATAGAACTTGAATCTATAGGATTCGTTACCTTGTTGACCACACTAAATGTTTGAATTAAGTTACACTAAATAAAATTCGATACTTTGTTGCTCAGAGCAAAGTATACTGCAGTGAAAAACAATCGGTTTCTTGTTATTTCTCAAAGGTTTTTTTTACAATCTTCAACCAGTGTAAATTCTATTATAAATTAAACAGATATTTTCTGCTGCTTTTAGTCATATTATTCATTAAACTCCACCTTCTGGGGGGTGGGTGTGTCTGTTTTAAGTGTATGTTCTTCACTACCTGCTTTATTAAATAGAGCATAGTGTTTTTATTTAGAAACAGTTTTCAGAATCACCAGATTTATTGGACTGAAAATTTTCTATAAACTTACTTCAGATATTTTTATAGCAATATAATGTAAAACACAGCATTTATTTCATTGTCTTTTGTATTTATGCCCAGAACACCTGTAGTTTTTGGTAAAGAAAGTTTTTCAATGAAACATTTAATATTTAATGTCCAACTTTAACAATAATATATAGTGTGATAGTTATAATATCAAATAGTGAACAATTGTTTATTTAATTGTTACTATTTATGTTTAGTTCCTGTTAGGACATCGCATGTACTTGCTCTTAATTGTTCACAGCTTCATCTTTAACGACAGAGTGCTCAGACAAAGCTATTGCCAGAGGGTGTACGTGTACCAGAGCCTTTGGAACAAGGGGGACTCTTGGGTGTAATACGTTCAGACCCTACTCCCCCTATTTTATAAAAAAGGCCCCTGACAGTACATTGGCCCCTGAGATCATGAAAGTTTAATTTTTATTAACAATTTTAAATGAAATGTGCTATTAGGTCCTCTGTTTCTCGTGCTTGTTGGATCCGATAGGTGGGGGTTCTTCTTACTAGAGTGGACGTCTTAATTCTTCATGTTTGAAAAACGAACAAGGGCTGTAAATAGTCTTTAAACCAAAAACTCTACTGTGTCTACATTGCCTTAAACTCCATTGAAATAACATGATAAACTTTATAATAGTTTTACTATAAATTGAACATAATTTATTATATCTTTACAATAGATAGGCTTAGGTTTATATTAAAGTAGCCTTAACACAATCGTTCCAACTGAAACACTTGCATTGGTGTTCGTGAGCAATTTTTCTTAGTTCTATATGAAATCTTTTACGTTAAGTGTATTATGTATAGAAGAACCTAAAAAGGAAAGTAGACAAAACAATCTTATAAGTAATTCAGTATATAATAAATATTAAACCATTAAAAACTTAACAACCTGTGATGATGGATGAGGTTTGTACGTACTTGTTGTTGTGTAAATTAGAGAATATCTAACATCAAAAGTCTGCTTAAAAAATTACATCAACTTTTTTATGATATACATATATGAAGTTAAAAACTTTTTAAAAATCATTTCCTAAGTTTACATTAAAGCAGTCTTAATAATAATATTGATAATTGGCTACTATTTACCAACATTACTTTAAGGCTAAGCCTAGTTTCTTATCTCTTCACATGAAGTTACTTACTTATTATTATTCACACAAGTGTTATTGGTTGTACGTAGTAAAGCTTTTGGGAATAAAATGAACAAGTTTTTTTACTATGTACAACCGATAAAAAATGTGTTAATTAAAAAAGCGTAGACTTACTATTATATTATAATGGACCTATCACAACATATATTTAATTTATTACTTATTTTACAATCATACTTCAGAGTAATTTCTCAACTTAGCCCTAATTTCTTAACTACGATAAAGTAGGTTTAGCACACGTCTAATTTATTTCAACTATAATTATTATATATTTTACATGTATTATGGTAATTATATTTTATAAATGAATAATCCACATCGCCGATTAATATATCTATATTAGACTTAATATAACATTACAATAGAGTAAGCCTAAAATATACCCCGATTTCCTGTTTCTTTATATTAAAGACGCTATTTCTATACCTTACAAAATGTGTAACCCTAATAATTCAGTCGTTATATTCCGCCTATCCCCGATCGTGGGGATATAGAGAGCGCTGAATTACTGGACTTAACAATGCATAATAATATTAAAAGTGTAATGAATGTTTTAAGTTCTGGTGTTGATAACCTTTCACACGACACATGCCCATTATGTCATGAGAAACTAGAAGGCACAGGTGATTCTTAAGTAATATTTGACGCACCCGATTCTGAGGACGTTCAAGAGGAATTACGACAGGTTTTGTTACGCACTGTATGAAAAAGAAAAATGTCGAGCGATGCTTAACTGCCACGACATGAAACATAAGATAAACTGAACTTGGACAACATTGCATATACTTGTGTTTTATATGAACAAGTTTTCATTAGGTATGAACATATTGTATATGAAACTTTGCTGAATGGACGGCAATAACCTGTTGTAGAAACGCAAGTGTAGAGGACGACGTTTCGAAAGTCTTCAGGTTCAAGAAGAAAGGCGGAAGACTTACGAAACGTCGTCCTCTACATTTGTGTTTCTAGAACAGGCAGTTGCCGTCCATTCAACAGTTTCATAATGAATACTCTGCCTAAACAATCTATCAAATAATATTGTATGTGTGTTAAAAAGGCTGACTTTTAATGCTGTTGAATATCAGTACCCATCTTCGAAAAAGTTTAAATCGAAATGCAACCGGAATAGCGAGTGTTCAGTCAGAAATGACCATTGTTTTAGCCAGTTCATTGTGCGAGTACTCAGAACTTACTGTTATCTCAACCAGTTCACTGAACGACTACAGAATTAAAACTAACAATTATCCCACGGTTCGTTGTTATAATTTCAACTACCTCGGAGTTGTTTCAGTCCTGGTACAAATGGAAAAGGACACTTGGTTGTTTCCAGTAGTAACTCTAGGTTGTAGCACAAGTCACGGTTTCGTAGTAATATTAAGGTGACTGCGTGAACTTCGGCGCTAAGTAAGGGTGAAACTACGCATGCTCAAAATTTTTAATATGGTTTGTTTCGTTTCTAACGGATTATGCTATGTACAGAAAACTATTGAAATATTAATTATTAAGGAATTCAAGCATCTTTATAAAAATGGAAGTTAAATATTTTAATTAAAATTAAGGAAGAAACTACAAATAACGTATCAAACTAGGCCACAGTATTTTTTTTTAAATTTGACAGTGAGCTTCAAGTCACAAAATATCCAATGTACGTTACATGGGGGAAACAGTTTCATCTTAATAATTGAAGAAAAAAAAAGCACACGAAGAAAAGTAAATAATAAAGTTTTTGGACTCTTCCAATACTGTCTTACTTTTATTAAGTCACGAGATCTCGAACCTTCTATATAGATTTTATATATATATATAGTTAAAGAAAAACAAAAACTTTTAAGTCTTTTAGTTTGGGAGTTACGTTTTACTTAAGTACGTAGAGAATTGAATAAACAGTGTTTCTAATTAGGCCTAGGAATTAGAATGTAGAATGAATGGTTAAACTTAGACTACACTATTGGCTGCCCTTGCTATCAACAAAAACGTGAAATCTAAACTTCAAACGTCATTTATTATACATTTCGATACAATATACTAGTTTAAAACACGCTGAAATGGAAACATTGTTCTGTTGGTATTACGTTGTATTGGAACACATAAAATAATATAAAAGGCAGGTGTATGCATAAAACGAAAAATAACGTGTTATTACAAGACAGAAAAGAAAAATGTTGTAATACATTTAATTAAATGAGTCAGTTTTTTTTTTTTTTTTCAGAACGTACAAAGTACCTTATTTTAACGTGCATGACAATTGTCTTTATTTCATAGAGCTTTTTACACTTCGAACTTAAGATATATTAAAATAAAACAAATGTTGATACACGGTGGTCTTCAAAACACGCACCACATTTTAAGTTTATATTCTTTCTGTTCGCACGTGTTCTCAAATGGTTTTTAATCCTGATAGTGATATGTTGTTTGGTGACGTTATTGTATAAAACTTGTTAAAATTTTGTGAATAATTTTATCCCCATTGTAAGAAATCGGCGAATTTTAAAACGTCGTTTCGACCGTGTTCACCCATCATCTTTACGTTAGTCAACAATTGTAACAAAACGTGTGGAATGATGATTTATGACGCGCGGAAAGATCACGGTCAAGGTTGTGTGAATATTCGATCTGTCAGGGGCGCCAGATAGTATTATAAGATTTTTAAGTTCACTACATTTTGACTTCCACTAATATGAAGTATTTTTTTTCTGACTCCCAAACCAACCATTTTCCCCACCCTAATAAAAAATCCTAGAAATGCCGCTACTCAAAAGTAATGACATATATTGAGTCTTTCTTTAATCAAACTGGACTTTCTAAAGTTAAACGTTACAAAACTAGAAAACCTCACATTAATTATACCCTACAGATAAAATTAATACTTTGTCTTCTGGCTTAGAGCAATAATAATATACGAATAAGAAGTAGATAATAAAATATTCTGTGGTTGATAATGGTAACTTGTCTTACCCCGTTGTTTTAAATGTCAAGGTTTTGATCAAACAGGTTACAATGGAATATATTTTTTTTAAGTTGAAGTTTTCCGTTTCTTTCTGTAGCGACACACCTAAAAAACCATTAAAATTAATTTACATTTGCTTTCTATGTTCAGAGCCTCGCGTGAAAACAAATAATCATTTATGTTTTTAATTTCGGTTTTCATAGAAAACGTAATGTTAGCCATACGTGATAGAAGCTCCGCCACCTCCCCTCCGTTTAAACTCGTAGAACACGTTACACATCGTTTTAGGCGCGCGCGAATACACTCGCGTATAATTCGTAAATAGCTACAGTTCAAACCTTCAGTCGGAATGCTTCGCTAATTTTGCAAAATAACTGGTTGATAGAAATATTTACAGTTATTATGGTGTATATTTTATGATATATAAATAAAAATTTCTTTATTATATATATATATATATACACCATAAAATAAACATAATTTCCTGTAATGGTGAGAGAACCAATCAAAGAAACAGGAGTTAAAAGATGCAGGCCTAGCCCTAACTACGGTAAGTTGTTGTTCGAACTTATAATGATTATTGTTTTGAAATGCAAGGTAGAGAAACTGAACCAGCTTATTCACAAGGTATCAAACACATAGCGATTTTATTCGCTCTAAAAATAAGAAAGGAAATAAGTTGTAACTTAGTATTAATTATGTTAGCATTAAAGTCACGGGCCTAAGCCAACTGAAGTGATTAACAATAAACCTTTATTCAACGATCCCTTCCCCATCTTCAGTATTTGATGCTTGTGTATGTAACAGGCGCTACCCCCCCCCCTCCAGAAAACAACAACTGCTTAAAACTACAAGGGGTCGTTTCAGTTTATTTCACATAACGCCCCCAATGAACAATCAATATCTTTCGCCCTTGCAATAACGTCTAACACTAAGAGTTAGGCTTAATGGGTCGGCAAATCATATGCTTCTAAGGCACAGCTATCAAACGTTCCAGTTGGAAAGTCAGACGTTTAAGAACCAGTGACTTAAAAATATCGTAATTGTTTTGGCAAATTGGACATCACCTGGTACCGAGTTTATAAATTATGTTTCCGGTACATTTGCCTGTCAAGTCATCCACGTGACTAAGGTCTTTGTGTGCAAGATAAGAGTTTAACTTTAAGGTTATCAATATGCATATTTCTTCGACGAATGTAGTATCATTTTTGTTTATCATAAAGTTTATGCAGAGGTCAAATTCAGTCGGTACTAGGAACCAGTCAATTTTGAAACCTTGTGGTAAATGTACGTCACTTATTTTGAATTTATTTACTTTTTTAAAATTTACTTAATTCGATAAAAAATAGGCTTGTGGTTTGTTGTTGAGGTGGGCTGTCTGTACTGTGCCCACCGCGGGTATCAAAACCCGATTTTTGGCGTGATAAGCTCCTCAGACTTAGAGTGAGAACGGAGGCACAGTACCTGGGGTTGGTCAACTTACCTTCGTTCTTTATTGGTTGTATGCGACACTAACTGTCGGCTTTCATTTGACATTACATGCACAGACATATTTCGATTTCTGGAATTAATTGTAAAGACAGAACTGGCAGATATCTTTAACGTTTCCACCCCTGCATTTATCGTATTATAACACAGCCCTTTCGTCAAACACAAAACAAAAATATTGTTTTCTTAAGCTACCACTTAAACTTATATCTTTACCTATTTTAATGAGATTTTTGTGAGGAAACAATTACACATTTACTTTTGTGTTTTTTATTCTTATAGAACAGTTTGCCGATTGGTTTGATAAACTGAAATTTTGATTTAATTTCATTTTACCTAAAGGTTATCGAATTATTTCTAAAAAAAACATTCGGAGGTGAGGAAGATTTGAAGCTCATATTTCAGGACCTCATCAAGTGACTAAACAGTAATTAAGCAAGTGTCCATATTTCCAAACATACACCTGCCCAATGTTTCGTCAAATATCTGCCGTTGTGGACAACTGTGGAAATAATTTCTGAAGGTACCATCAAACTCAAAAGCGCACACAATAAACTGGCTACAGTTCTTTGGATGTCGGTGGACCCCTTGACGGATGCACTGGACATTCATGCTTTCTGCTATGGTTACTCCAGGTCCTCTGGGTTTCGGAGTAGTTGTTGTTGTCCGGTGTGGTCGTCGTCGCAACTGCCGACGCGTGGCTTGATGGACAGCTGTAAAGTCTGATAGATCTTGATCTTTTGGCAAGGTCACCGAGCTTATGCGAGAGGAAACGGCATCTTCACTTTCCCTCGTGCGTGGTCTCACCCGAAATCGTACCCGTGTTCGTGCCCTAGAACCACCCCTGTGTCGAGTCAGCAAATGAGACATGCGAGGTGTTTCATTATCTTTGAACAGCATCTCTCTAGATTTTCTGCTGGATGGATTCACTCGTTCAATGGCCTTGTATTGAAAAGGGTTGTCAAGAACGCGAGATTTGAAATCATTAGTGGTTCTAGCTTCGGAAAAAGGTTCCGTTGATGTTAAAACTTTGGTTCTTTCGTGATTTTGATCGATAAACAAGGATCCAACTTCCTTTTGCTCTGCTGGAATGAGTGGAACTTGTGGCCCTCCCCAGTCCACCATAGGGTCATCTTTATTTTCTTTAGCTTTAGACTTCTTCCTGTTTGGTGACACATATTGAAATAACTTTTCGTTAACTGATGCAGCCTCAAACTGTGGCCTCCGTGGAACTTGGTTAGTCAACTGAGGAACTGGCGCATTGCTGGAAGTTTTTGGAGGACCCGCAGCTGATAAGTTTTGGGAGTGATGTCGATATCGTGGAATTTTGTGTCTTGCAGCTTTCTTTATTGTGGTTGATGAAGATGTGCTGGTTAACGGTCCTGTTGTGGGTTCCACTCCTGGATTCCTTTGAGGAGTGACATAGTTTGGAAGGGTTCTGGATATTGGAGCTAATGTTATTGGTGCATCAGTAGTATCTTCTTTGGTCAACTGTTCATTCCTTAAGAGTGATTGCAGCAGGCGTACCAGGTCAGCAAGATTATGGGTGGTTGGGACCTCTGTTTGCGGAGCTTCTGTTGTAGTTGTTGTTGTGGTCCTACGGAAATGGTGTCGTGGGCGCTTACGTCGGAAGTATTTTCTGGTTGGCCGAGATGGTTTTGAGATTGTTGGTTTAGTCGTGGATTCTTCTTCTTCACAATGCACGTTGCGGCGATAATCACAAGAGTCTCTCAGTGGGTTGAAATACAAATCAGCTGGACAAGTGAAAGTATGAGGAACGATACCCAGCTCTGCTGGCCCGCTATCCAAACACCAGTAGTACTTCTTACAATTTTTAGGGTTCTTGAAGAAGCCCTCATCTGTGCAAACAAAATCACCACCTGGATCAGGGGTTGTCGGAGGCTTGGGTGTCTGAAGAAGGTCCTTGGGATTCTTGATGATAGCTCTGGTATCGTTTCTCAGCCGATGATAATTAGGCAAACGTCTGCCATGTTTGCTGGATTCTTCTATATTCGATAATAATGGCTTTTTGATTTCATCTAGTTTTGTCTGTACTACAGATTTCGTAGGGGGTTCCTTAGTACCAGTCAGTAGAGTAGTGCGTAAGGTCGTCACCAGGGGGTTCTCTTCTCCGCACAATCCTCGAAAATCATCATTATCCAATGTCCAGACCATAGCGCCTCCTAAACCTTGTTCTCTGATGTAGCCTGCCTACGTTCAAATGAAATATCTTAGTATCCTATATGTTTATTAAAGTTAGTTTTATTACGCAAATAGACACACATATTTGGAGAATAATGAACTATGTAAAACTTACTTTATTGATGACCATCATTTCGTCATCAAACCCAACCCACTGGTTATCCTTGTAGCAGTACGGTCCCAAAAGTTCCGGATAAGGGCGTCGGACTTCCCAGTTGTCTTTCAATATACCCTGACAAATCTGAAAATAAATACAAAATTAACTTGTTAAGCCAGTAATAATGGTAGTTTGCATATAGTATAGGAAGCACGCTACCTGTGTTGTGCCCATCACGGGTTTCGAAACCCGTTTTTATTTTTAATAAGCCTTCAGACTTGCCGCTGGGAAGCTAAATCACTGTTAGTGGTCATTTCAGTTAATTCAGGATGAAAGGCTGAAGTTTAGTCTTATTCGACACTGTTGACATTTGTTGCATTTCACAACCTTAAGTAGCCCTCTAGTGGCTCATCGGTAAGTCTTTATAACGCTAAAAACCGGGTTTGGATATTCACAGTGGGCATAGCGCAGATAATCCATTACGTAGCTACAAACAGCCAACCTAAGTGACAGATTTCATTTCTACCTTGATTCCAGTCGTGAGGTACATGAGCCGCTGGATAACTATTAATACCGAAAGAATCACTAGTTTGTGTGGTTTCAACAAATCCTAGCATTCATGGACAAAACTAGCGTGTGATGTAATGAAAACTAAAATGTTATTTTGATCAGGCATATTAATTTGTAGCTTAAAAAAATAATCACCAAATTGGGTCGAAGGTTCTTGTTGTTGTTTTTTAAGTTTATTTTAAGGAGGTTTAGCATCCAGAGAAACAACATCATTTATAAAGTATTTCCTTATTGTTGCAACGTCTGTAATGACTAATTACTATATGAATATCACAAACTTGCACATAATAGTTTTCTTTAACAGCATGAGATACAGAATCAGTCACCCATTGTGATTTGTTGGTGGTATAAAATAGGCCTAATGTTTACATACCTCGTTGTATGCCAAATATCCTTTTTCTTTAGTAGATGGGCCCTTTTCACCAGGACCATCTGCAGGGGCTTCGATCCTATTGTCAAGAGGGTCCAGTAGGGTAAATGATCGGCCATAAGTAGGAACTCCTACTATCAGCTTGTGTCTAGGGGCGCCCAACTCCAGGTAGTAGTTTATTGTCCAGTTCTGTTAGAAATAAAGATAACACTTTTCAGCTATATTTTATTTATTTTTTTTTAATTCTTGCTGGTTTCAGGAAATCATCGTGTCGTACTTAACGATTTGTTAATGGTTTTAAAGTCGTCCGTTATATTTGGAAGCCATTAATGAACGTATAAACTTGTCGTGGTTTTAAATAGCGATGTCCCATAAAATACATACTGTATATTAAACGGTACAGGATTCTGTAATAGACAACAGGGAAATTAAGTAAAAACCTGAAAATCCAACAGTGTGATTTATTTAAAAAATAACAACGTACCGGTTTGAAAACAAACTTAGAGACACGAATTTTAAGCGCACGTCCCATTCCAAGGATTCAAGAATTATAACCATGAACTTATTTAGTGGAATAATAATAAGGAAATCATATTTTAATGAACTAGGCAAGGCATGTTATATTTAGGGACATTTATTGCCAGTTCTCCCCTTGTGGACATTCGAAAACACCGCAGTGAATAAAATTAGAAAATTTGGTGAATTATATTGATTTTCGATATGTTCTTTAAGCAATCGTCCAAAAGATGGCGCTAGTTGACACGTTTATTAATGATACAATCAAGAAGGTATTACGTTGCTTAAAATGGTAATATAGTTAGCAATGGTATTCTGACAACTATAAGTCTCTTCTAATATAAAATTTCACTCAAGCTACATTTAACAAATAAACAAACTGAAAAATAGATCAAATACATGATTTTTGTCTCATCTATAGACACCAGATACAAGTACGTATAGTGACTACCTTATCACCGTGTGAGTGCTTTATTGTAAGTTACACACACACACATCTATATTTACAAAATAAACTTATCCGAAGTCGCTAGTCATATAGAACAATGACATACATTCTGATAATTCCTTATGTAACTTGATCATAAGGTTTAAGTAGCCTTACCATAAGGCTTACGTAACCCTACCACAAGGCTTATGTAAACCGTCTATAAAACTGAAACAGCCTTATCATAAAGTTTACATAACCTTACCATAAGGCTTACGTAACCCTACCACAAGGCTCATGTAAACCGTCTATAAAACTGAAACAGCCTTATCATAAAGTTTACATAACCTTACCATAAGGCTTACGTAACCCTACCACAAGGCTTATGTAAACCGTCTATAAAACTGAAACAGCCTTATCATAAAGTTTACATAACCTTACCATAAGGCTTACGTAACCCTACCACAAGGCTTATGTAAACCGTCTATAAAACTGAAACAGCCTTATCATAAAGTTTACGTAACCTTACCATAAGGCTTACGTAACCCTACTATGAAACAGCTTGATCATAAAGTTTACGTAGACATAATATGAAAGTGCCCTTTACGAATGGTGTAGCAGTGAACTTACCACATTTAGTCTGTCTCTTTCGTCCCAACGGCCAACGTCGGGGGTTTTATGAAGAGGAGCGTGATGATTTACAACCCCTTCGTAAGCAGTGTGATAGTCGTAGGTCAAAACATTAATAAAGTCCACGTACCTACCGGGAAAATATAACATTAAATACATTATATATGTGAAGTATTGATATACCTATGTGATTTAATATTAAATCTCAAATTATCAGCTTGTTTTTATATCGTTCACTACCGAAAAGGCCCAAATATTGTAGAATATGGAGTAAAATGTATGTTTTTTTGCCTGTTACAACATCCAGTGTAAATACTGACAAAACAACAACGAAAAACACGAAGAAGTCAGTATATTTACAATTAAAATACGTAGTAGTAATTACTAGGATTAATTAGTTTCCATGGTACTTTATTTAATTTTTATTAGTGTGTGACTCATGAATAGTACTGTATAAAGGCACGTAACCAGAGGGACAGACGAGGCACGTGACCCTGTAACCAACAAAGTCGATTTGGTAGACAAGTGCTTTAGAAAAATGTGTTTCAAATTTCAATAGGGTCCTTGCGAATCACTCTCCATCGGCTATTCTAAGGTTAAGTTGATAATACTACGTTTGGAAAGAAGCAGGACGATGACAGTCTCAAGTGAAACATCAAGATTTGGGTAGGTCAGCATCCAGAAGTAAAAACTGCTTATCCAAGTTTGAGTTCCATTCTGTCCGTTGGTCCGTACGTAATTGTGAACGTAACTTTTGATTTCTGTTCTAAAATGAAGTTGACATTCTATACGCTTATGATTGTTAAAACCGTTCTAACCATTTGGCACGTGTAAAAGGTTATTAAATTTATCCCCTGGCTATGTTATGCTTCCATATTTGTGAAAGTTTAAAAAATTACTCCCTTGGCGAAGGCATTAAGTGAAAAGTGGGTTTTGGTTTTGGTCTTCACTCCGAGTCTGACCGGTTACATTTTATTCTTACTAGCTAAATGGATTAAATCACTTTTATGGATTTTGACCTCAATAATACATAGTATCCGTTTGTATAACCGTGCAGCGACATCTATAAAATAACAGTCCTAGATATTTAGAAGTAAAATTGTGGAACCAATTAAGAAATATTGCAAAAAAACATTGGATTTGTGCACACGAGTAAAATAACAGTTAGTAGCATTGGATCACACGAGTAACATAACAGTTAGTAGCATTGGATCACACGAGTAACATAACAGTTAGTAGCATTGGATCAGACGAGTAACATAACAGTTAGTAGCATTGGATCAGACGAGTAACATAACAGTTAGTAGCATTGGATCACACGAGTAACATAACAGTTAGTAGCATTGGATCACACGAGTAAACCTTCCTACAGTTACTACAATATCCAGGTTAAACCGGGATTAATGTAAGCCTTCCTACAATTATTACAATATCCAGATTAAACCGGGATTAATGTAAACCTTCCTACAATTATTACAATATCCAGATTAAACCGGGATTAATGTAAACCTTCCTACAATTATTACAATATCCAGATTAAACCGGGATTAATGTAAACCTTCCTACAATTACTACAATATCCAGCTTAAACCGGGATTAATGTAAACCTTCCTACAATTACTACAATATCCAGATTAAACAGGGATTAATGTAAACCTTCTTATAATTACTACAATATCCAGATTAAACCGGGATTAATGTAAACCTTCCTACAATTATTACAATATCCAGGTTAAACCGGGATTAATGTAAACCTTCCTACAATTCAATACGTGCCCACGGTTGTTATCCCGATGCCACAAAATTGCATTTGACATTATGAGGTCGTGGTCGCGTTATAAGAGCGATGGTCAAACCCTCACTATTTGATTAGCGTAGTCCAAGAGTTGACTAGCTAGCTGCCTTCCGACTGGTCTGTCTACCAGTTCAATATTAGGGACGGTTTTGTAGATTTGCCCAAATATTCGAAACAAAGTAAACTTTACGATAAAAATATAACAACAATCACCTAATGCAGGATGGAAATAATTTATGTTATGTTTGAGAGGGAAATATGAAATGAGTTTACCGTTTTTCCCACTTATATTGTATATTTGACACACCCACCTTCCACCTCTTTCCTCACCTTATGGTTGTGATACACCCGCCTTTCACCCATCTCCATACAATATACGTTTGATACATCCACCTCTTTCCTCACCTTATAGTTGTGATACACCCACCTTTCACCCATCTCCATACAATATACGTTTGATACATCCACCTCTTTCCTCACCTTATAGTTGTGATACACCCACCTTTCACCCATCTCCATACAATATACGTTTGATACATCCACCTCTTTCCTCACCTTATAGTTGTGATACACCCACCTTTCACCCATCTCCATACAATATACGTTTGATACATCCACCTCTTTCCTCACCTTATAGTT